CTTCTAACAGCTGCTGCAGTGACACAATGATTTTAGCAATCAGCAATTGGCTCATTCATTTAGAAGGTGGGACTATTCAACCATATTGTGCGTTATTGTTCAACAACTGGTTGGTTCCATTCACGAATGGCTTAATCTACTGAGCGAATACGCCCATCACTGACCGAGTCGATGTTTTGAGTCTAAACGAAAGAGAGATCTCATTCGTGAACGAATCGAACGAACTGGTACATCTATGGGATGAAATTAGTCTCAAATTTACTTAGAAATGCATGCACAATTATCCATGAACTTGATAAATGTTGCAAATGTATCTCACTATCCACAACCAAATGCCTGTCAACTTGTATCTGTGAAATTCAGAATAACATGAACATGCAGCGATTTGTACAAATAGAAACATGTTTGTGAACAGGGGTGCTGCTACAGTTTCTGGGCCCCCTGAACATGTTAACTTGGGGCCCCCCTTGATAGAAATCGTTTTCAGCATTTCACAACCCCCACACAAACAACTATCAACGAATAAGCCCAAGTGCTAATGATTAATGTTTGCACATCTACCCATTCATTAGAAAAATTCACAAATATATTTGACTATTTTACAAGGCACATTTGTGTTTCCCAGTCGTTGGCTACTGATCTATAGCAATTATTAGCTCTCTGTAGGACAGAAAGACAAATGTTGTGCTGAAATATGCACAATAGCAACACAATCTTCGGGCCTAGGAAGACATTGTGTACATTAAAAATAATTTGGAACAAATATAATGTGATTTTATGGAAAACTATGTGAGTGGCACTCTGAGTCAGCATGGAATTTTTTAACTTTGAACTTAATGTTGTTAAACTGAATGTACAAATAAGCAAAGTGTTAGCTGAAATATCCACAAAATAAAAAAACAACACTGAAATAAGAGCGTAGCCTACTGTTTATCTGTCAGTCAGTTACACGTGAAAGTTGTGTTCATTACTACAGCAACATTAGAGTTTTCTTTCAGAATCATCCTGAATCCAATTCGATTAATATTAAAATAAAGTGATGCATAATTAAGAGTAAGTCGTATGAAAAGAGCATTTCTCTAGGGGGACCATATTTTAGTTTTCCAAAAAAGAGGACAGTGGGGGCAGGATGCAGGTTGTTGGGCTTTGGGGTGGGGGGTGTGATTTTAAAGTAGCCCCCAAATTAGCGCAATGACCATATCAAAACTCAAAATATATCATTTCCATACCTAAAATACATACTTTACAGTCACCGTTATGCAGATTGATCATAAACACAGCCAGTGGGCATCCTTTACTAAACTTAACATCTACCACAGTTTTATCATAGGTAGAATGCAAAATGTTTCAATACAAGCATTTCAGTCAAATGTAATTTAATTTATGCAATATTTCAAACCTTTAACCCACGGCAGAAAATCAACCCTCCTCAACAGTTTAAAATCAGCCCAATTCAGTGCAAAAACATGCGGAATTGACAACCCTGCATCCAACACAAGCTGTATTCAAAGCGATTTAAATATTCCGCATATTGATAGCGGCTCCCTGATGCGTGAAAATTATATGCAATATTAGAATGTTTGTGGGAGCAGGCAGTAATGGTCAGAAATTCAGTGGGAGCAGGATTAAGAAAGCAGTCCTGCACAGAGCTTTATACAAAAACGCACACAATGAATGGCGAAGTCCTGTAGAAAGAAAAATCCAGAACTGAAATCCAGAGAAAATCTGAATCCCGGACATTTTGGGTGATTTAGAAATCCCGGCTGGGATTTTAGGTCCAAAAAGAGGGCATGTCCCCTCTGTAGTAATTGCGTTCCGGGTCCCTCTCCCACGTAGGGCCCTTGGAATTGTCCAAACCTCTCCACATGCACAAATTATGATAGGGATACTTTAATACAAAATATAACATTTGTATTCACAAATGTGTCTTTGAACAAATGCTGCACATTCATGTAATTCTGAATTTCCCAGACACAAGATGAAAGGCGTTTGTTTGTGGATAGTAAAATATATTTGTGAATTTTTCTAATGGATGGGTAGATGTGCACACATTAATCAATAGCACTGGGGCGTATTCATAGTTGTTGTGCGTGGGTTGTGAAATGCTGAAAACTGCACAAAGAAAGTGTCAATATCCAAATGAATCAAACAGGATTGATTGGAAATCATGCCAATGAATGCAGGCGTGCCACTTGATCCACAAATGCACATCTTCCTTGTTGCATGTGCACATTCTGATACACTAATGCAAAAGAAAACATCTGCATTCACAAACGTACAAATCGCTGCATGTTCATGTAATTCTGAATTTCACAGACAGGCAATTTGGTTGTGAGTGAGATACATTTGCAATATTTATCAAATTCATGGATAATTGAGCATGCATTTGTGTAAGTAAATTTTAGACTAATTTCACCCCATATACATCTCGTTCGTGAATGAAATTAATGAGAGTGTACAGGGTCGGTCATTTAGCATGCGAGTCAATCTCGTTCAGCAATCAGCAGAAAGCGGATGCAAAACGCAGTTATAGCCTAGGTAGGCTACTGTGCACATACACTTGTTTAAATATTAATATTTAACATAGAACATAACTCACGACACGTTTAATATAAACCCAGATTTATGAATATGTAAATGTCTGACCAAACAATGAATGTTAATTATGCAAGAAAACCTTGTGCTTTGGTCATCTGAACCACTTATTTAGACTTATTTTACGTACTCAATGAGTAGATTAGGCACACATTTTAATTAAGCCTAATGAGTTTTTTGCAACAAGTAAATACTTTTGTTGACTGAAGACATAACACAAGACTTTTTGTTACACTTTTTCGCCACCTGCTGGCGTATTTATGTAATATGAAGAAATGGTCACTGAACAAATCAGTGAACGAATCATTTTGGTGAACAAACTGAAAATGAACGAATCTCTTGAAAGAATCAATTTCCACAACTAAGAGAATGTCACCTGAAGCTACTCGGCTGCATGATCAGATTTAGGTATTTGCTTTCCTAAATATTGATCAATTTCAGTATGTAGCCTCTTTAGACTGTTATATAATGACAGTCATTAATGCAAGGTATCATTCTCAAAACAGATTTATTAAAATAGTCTTTCAAAATCAAAAGGATCATCCTGGCATTATACAATACAATCCCCAGTATGAGTCTAGCCCCACTTTCTTTTTTTCTTTTTTGACTTTTTTTTTCTTTATTTAAACTGTAGCCTGAAAAAGTGAGAAAGAGCGAGCTGGAAAATCTAATCTCCCCTTAGTCAGTCAGTACTTGCTGGTTACATAGGAGTGATCATCTTAGACGTATTCTTATACAGCACAAATTATGTATTGCATAATTGTTTTTAAACCAAAGTAACAGCCGAACTGATCTATTAAGCATATTACTGTCGCTGTAGTCTTTTGGTAATGGTTCATAATATTGTAACGTTCTCCGACAAGGACGAGGCGTTTCGATGTACACGGGGTGTTTATTTGGGCTGTTGTCGGGCTTTATACAAAAACGCACACAATGAATGGCGAAGTCCTGTAGAAAGAAAAATCCAGAACTGAAATCCAGAGAAAATCTGAATCCCGGACATTTTGGGTGATTTAGAAATCCCGGCTGGGATTTTAGGTCCAAAAAGAGGGCATGTCCCCTCTGTAGTAATTGCGTTCCGGGTCCCTCTCCCACGTAGGGCCCTTGGAATTGTCCAAACCTCTCCACATGCACAAATTATGATAGGGATACTTTAATACAAAATATAACATTTGTATTCACAAATGTGTCTTTGAACAAATGCTGCACATTCATGTAATTCTGAATTTCCCAGACACAAGATGAAAGGCGTTTGTTTGTGGATAGTAAAATATATTTGTGAATTTTTCTAATGGATGGGTAGATGTGCACACATTAATCAATAGCACTGGGGCGTATTCATAGTTGTTGTGCGTGGGTTGTGAAATGCTGAAAACTGCACAAAGAAAGTGTCAATATCCAAATGAATCAAACAGGATTGATTGGAAATCATGCCAATGAATGCAGGCGTGCCACTTGATCCACAAATGCACATCTTCCTTGTTGCATGTGCACATTCTGATACACTAATGCAAAAGAAAACATCTGCATTCACAAACGTACAAATCGCTGCATGTTCATGTAATTCTGAATTTCACAGACAGGCAATTTGGTTGTGAGTGAGATACATTTGCAATATTTATCAAATTCATGGATAATTGAGCATGCATTTGTGTAAGTAAATTTTAGACTAATTTCACCCCATATACATCTCGTTCGTGAATGAAATTAATGAGAGTGTACAGGGTCGGTCATTTAGCATGCGAGTCAATCTCGTTCAGCAATCAGCAGAAAGCGGATGCAAAACGCAGTTATAGCCTAGGTAGGCTACTGTGCACATACACTTGTTTAAATATTAATATTTAACATAGAACATAACTCACGACACGTTTAATATAAACCCAGATTTATGAATATGTAAATGTCTGACCAAACAATGAATGTTAATTATGCAAGAAAACCTTGTGCTTTGGTCATCTGAACCACTTATTTAGACTTATTTTACGTACTCAATGAGTAGATTAGGCACACATTTTAATTAAGCCTAATGAGTTTTTTGCAACAAGTAAATACTTTTGTTGACTGAAGACATAACACAAGACTTTTTGTTACACTTTTTCGCCACCTGCTGGCGTATTTATGTAATATGAAGAAATGGTCACTGAACAAATCAGTGAACGAATCATTTTGGTGAACAAACTGAAAATGAACGAATCTCTTGAAAGAATCAATTTCCACAACTAAGAGAATGTCACCTGAAGCTACTCGGCTGCATGATCAGATTTAGGTATTTGCTTTCCTAAATATTGATCAATTTCAGTATGTAGCCTCTTTAGACTGTTATATAATGACAGTCATTAATGCAAGGTATCATTCTCAAAACAGATTTATTAAAATAGTCTTTCAAAATCAAAAGGATCATCCTGGCATTATACAATACAATCCCCAGTATGAGTCTAGCCCCACTTTCTTTTTTTCTTTTTTGACTTTTTTTTTCTTTATTTAAACTGTAGCCTGAAAAAGTGAGAAAGAGCGAGCTGGAAAATCTAATCTCCCCTTAGTCAGTCAGTACTTGCTGGTTACATAGGAGTGATCATCTTAGACGTATTCTTATACAGCACAAATTATGTATTGCATAATTGTTTTTAAACCAAAGTAACAGCCGAACTGATCTATTAAGCATATTACTGTCGCTGTAGTCTTTTGGTAATGGTTCATAATATTGTAACGTTCTCCGACAAGGACGAGGCGTTTCGATGTACACGGGGTGTTTATTTGGGCTGTTGTCGGCCACAACCCACGCCGTACACACCCCGACTTCTAAGAGAACCGCACTTGAACCAGCGAGGCACCCTTTCTCCCCCCTCCTTCCCTCTCTTTCCCCTTACACACACACAGGGGCGGAGCCTCTTTTCACATCCAACTCGAACATCCAATAACAGTTCGCAACACAAAAATGAACACAGTGCAACACTAACATTAAGCACATTGTTATCTATAACACAACATGCTTGAACATGCTACAATATGATAAATATTCCCTTGCAAAGCCAGTATTTACAAATGCTTCTAATGTTAGCCATCAAACATAAAAAGTTATGAAAACACATTCATTACTTTTAACACACATATATTCACATATACATATTAAGTAAGACGGGCTGTGCCTAACCAGTAACTAGGTCTATAAGTTACTGGTTATGCATTGCCCGTCTGATTTTGCAGATAACTGTTTGTCCATCATGTGAATAGGGATGACAATCTCTCCGGGGAGACTGATATTAGAGCCAGGTAATGAGGCCTCGACTGAGAGAATACCATCTGAAGACAGCATGGAGCTGATCTGTGTTAGGTCTAAGTCAGCCGGAAGCCTAATGAGTGACACAAGAAAAATGAAAACAGCCTTGAGTAATCATGGAGTAACACTGTATATTGTGTACAGCTGTAATAGAGTAAAAAAACTGCATACTGTGTGTAATAAATAAATACTATACACACTGCATAATCTCCTGTTAGGTTCAGTTTTTGAGAAATAACATTCTTTTGTTATAATGTTTTTAATACAAGAGAAATTACTTGCATTAAAAAAAGCTCTTACTTGTATTTTCTTGTAAAGCTTCTTGAGATCCATCTGTGATGCTCCTGCCTTTCCTCGTGATTACCTTTGAAAGAAAACAGACGTAGAAGAACGTGCCATTTAAGTATTTAGGAAATGCGATCTGCAGCATGTAATGTCATAGCATAGGCTAGTTATTTTTACATAAGTACATGGTGCTTTATACATTTTACAGGTGGAATAAAGCCAGACGTATCAAGGTCATCATACCTGTAATCTCCAAATATCCCTCCTTGGTTTTGATGTTTATCTCCTCTGGAGAAAATGGACTGACATCTAGACAGATTTTCCAGTTTTGCTGTCCTTTCGTTTGTTCACACACAGATTCAGAATTGCATCCTTCTGATCCAGTACATGATTTAGGTGGAACCTCCATGCACAAAGAGCTGAGGAGAGGTAAACGCATAGATCCTGGCCAGGTCGATGTCCCCAATCTTTTCCTTGCTGATTCTATCCAGCTAACCTCATCTGGTTCGAGGAAATTGGGGAGGTCGTTTGTTTGGTTGAAAAGGTTTTGGGTCTTCTCCTGAAAAGGGTCCCAGCAACCATTTCTTTGAAACAAAGGACGAGGCATCTTTAAACAATGTCAAAACTGAAAAACAACATTTTGGAGCTTCCAATACCTGATGCTGATGCAGTCAGAGTAAATTTGATTTGCCAACTTGCGAAATGCTACAGAAAGTTGACACTCACTTCTTTTATACTGTTCTTGTCTATTAAACCTTTATCCCAATTTATCCAGTTATCCAATCCCAAATGTCAACAAAGAGGCTTGGCAAATCTTTCAACCCTGTGTTACAATCTAACGTACACAGACTGATGCCATCCTGTCTGTATAAATAGAACTGAAGGGGTAATGGCAAATTCTTGGCGCATGACAATGGGTCCATTGGCAATAGTGTCATTGCATTAATGGCCTCTGTAATCTGGTCACATCTTGGTGCTGTTTCTTTCACCATAGTTACCAACTTTGTTGTATAACAGTGTGTACTTTCAACCTTTATCTCAGCTCTAGAGAATTCTTCAGTCTTGTAAACAACATTTAGAGCCAGATATATTAAGATGCATTGCATAACACTAATAATTGCTCCGATTTTACTACCTGATTTTAAATTGAGAACGTGACAACAAAGATCACAAAAAAACCCACAAAGCCAGATATTTATTCACTTTCTTTAATGACAAATCATTAGGATTAAGCACTTTTACGTCATCATAAATGCTCGGGATACTTGCATACAGAAAAATCATGTGCACAAAAACGATCATCGTCTTTTATTCTCTCTCCTTCTCTATTAAACTCTCTACAAGAACCCTACTTTAACTGTGCATCTTATTTCATGAGTGACTTGGGATTTAAATGGGTTCATTTGAATGGGCTGGAGAAGAAGGGCTGATCTGTGATCAGTTAGAAAGGCACATAAAGAGAAGCTACAGCAGATATATAGTGGGAATGAGAACGGAATACAAGAAAAGGGGTTTTACGAGCACATTTCTTTTCCAAGTATTAGAATGCTGATCGCAACTCTACAGTGCTTGTGTGGTCCTCTGGCTCAGTAGCACTGGATCAGTGGGAGTGTACTGAAATAAGTACATGAACAGGTAATATATTTATTTCAACACATACTGCAAATCACATTTCTTAGAGAGAGACTTATACAATATATAAGATACCAAAACATTTAAGGAAATATTTAAGTGTCTTTATAGTTTCTCACCAACAGTGCTAAAGTTTCTCAGGCAAAAGGATTTCCCCCAAACGGGTTTCCAAAAGCATCTGCAAGGGCAGCAGTCTGAGTGGCTGGAGTGCTCTGGGATAGAAAACAGGCAAAATTCATACAGAAAAATTCAAAAGGTCAACAAACTTGCAATCCCAAAAACACAGTATCAACTGAAACACCCAGAGCGTCTTTTCGACACTATACGCTTTTAGAATTCCAATTCAAAAGTACATACTGTATTCATGGGAGGGGCTCCAAAAGGGTCAGTTCCAAAAGTGTCATCAAAAAGGTTTGAGCCTGCTGTGGGAGTTGGGTTTGAGGGTGCAGGGGCTAGATTAGAAGTGAAGGCAGCATCCAAAAGCCTTGTGGCTTGGGCCAGGGTCGGAGTCAGGCCTGCTCCCTGAGTAGGAGGAGACTGCTGAGGAGCAAGTTTGGAGGTCCCTGGACAAGATGAGGAACTGTATTTATCAAACCAACAAAATCGCTATGCTCTATACAGTCTATATACAGCGGTTAATTAAATGAATACCATTTGAGTTAACTGAGATTTGGTTTATGTCGAAGTCATCATGATCTGCCACCTCCTGAGCCAAGCCAACCTTGCTGGAAAAGTACTGGTCAAATGAGCCATTGGTGCTCGGACCAGTTCCTTGTTCTGCTATCTGGGGCTTAGCCATCTGGAAATTTTTGAACATATCTTTTCCGGTCTTATTTTCTTTCTCCCCTAGGGGGTCCAAATCTGTAAAGGCGCTTTTGACCAGTGGGGGATCTTCCTTCACCGGAGGACGGGGTGGAGGTCGAGGAGGAACCACTGCACTCTGCTGCATACCCATCATTGCATTAGGAGGCATCATGGGAGCAAATTGGTTTGCAAAAGGGCTTGCCACAGGACCAGAGGTGGACCAGGCACCACCAGGTGCTGCAGTTCCTGGTTGACCCCAGGCTTGAGTGACAGCTGGTGGACCAAAAGGGGAAGCTCCTTGCTGCCCCCATACAGTTGCAGGCAGGCCTCCAAAGGCAGGTGGTTGAGGAAAAGGGTTTGGCTGTCCTGGAACCATTACTTGAGGAACACAACACTGAGGAGGAAACATTGTGGGAGTCTGACTCCATAGAGATGGAGCTGTCCCAGGAGTCTGAGTGACAGAAGTAGAGCCCAGAGACAATGACCCTACAGAACACAGTAATTACATTAAATACAAACAACATCAAAAAATGAAAGCATGTTCACCATGTTCGAAGTGACATGCAAAAATGTTCCATTAAAATTGGGTTGTCGAACAACCCAGGGGGCGCTAAGAGAGGAAACTCACGGAACAAATGTGATCTTACAAATTTACATTGTTTTATTTAAATGGTTAACATTTACTCAATTTGACATTGTTTTCATTCTGCTTCATTCTATTTACTTACACTATAAAAGCTGATTATTTAGTCTCTGTAATATAACACTTGCTAGTTTTCTCACACAGTTGAAATGGGCCTTTATATGGGACAAAAATAAAGTTACGTAAAGGTTTTAGACAGACAGACAGACAGACAGACAGATAGACAGATAGATAGATAGATAGATAGATAGATAGAATGCATTATACCAAGGGCATTGACGGTGGAGGATGGTGTGGTGTTGAATAGATCTGCTGGAATGGATGAGGTCTGATTTGAGGGCTGAGACTCGTTCTGGGCTGGTGGAGCAAAAAGTTCTGCTCCAAACGGATGATTTCCAGGTGACTGTGGGGTCACAATTTGTTTAAAATCATTTTAGTACTCTGCTCTTAAGCAAAATTACGGTGCTAAACGAGATACAGCATGCATTTAAAAAAAAGAAAGATCTATGGAGTTTAAAATATAAATGATGCCATCATTGAGAAAAAGCCCAATTTTATCACCAAAGTTTTGCCATGGAAAAACAAAAATGTATGTTAGGTTTGATATACATGTAGATACTTGGTGTCCTGCACATTTAAAGTGAGGCACAACAAAACAAATAAAATATACTGCCAATCTGATGATTTTCAATTAACTGTATTTCTGAGTAGAGCTCATAAAATGGCAGTTAGTCACAGTATTGCTTTCAGTGATTGCCATGACATTGTTGTTTGCATGCATAATTTAATTCTGTTAAAACAAGTTGGAAAGAAACATTTTAGTATGGATGCATAAGGCTTCTACTGTTAAGTAGTGAATAAGGACCACGGTCTATTAGCATAGCACTTAGTAGCTTTTTTAATGAGCAAAAAGTATACTATCAATTTTTAAGACACTGACAGTACAAGGACAACAATGCCATGTCCCACATCACAAGATAATGTGGCCGTTTCAATCCGATTTTTCCAATGTGCCAAACTAATACCTCCTTTAAACACCAAACACCTCCCATAAATCATTAACCCAACTATTAGTGTTCTATAAGACAAACTACAAGGAATGTTTCTAATGATAATAATTAAACCATCTATGCATGCTTTCCCATGCCTCACTGCATATAGGAGTGCAGACATCTGTACATTAAAGTAAAAAGTATTCTGTATTTTAAATCATTTTTTCAAATAAAAATCCTGCTGTAATGCCAAACAGCATAGTCCTTGTAGTCTCTCTCAGCATTCGGATGTGCAGTAATACAGACTGAGAACTTTCTCAGTCAGAAGAAGTTTCTCCTGTCAAATGTTCACCTTCTCTCTCCTCCGCATGCATCCAGATTTCGAGCTTTGAGGTGGGGGGCAAAGGACCATCAAGCCTCCATTTTGAAAAGTATTTGGCAGGTTGGTTTGAAACCATTCCACTGATTTACTTGATCCGTTACTTAGAGGGGTTTGGAGAACAGGAGGACCGGATTTGTATAACCCATTTAAGATTGGTGGGTTGTTTATTGAGGTTCTCAAAAAAGGATTCTGGCTAAAGAGGGAATTGCTGTCATCATTCAGATCACTTAAAGGAAGCTGGTTTACTTTGCTTTCATGTGACAACTGGTCATTGGACAGTCCATTGAACTGCTGACTGTTTGAAGAGGAGTCTTCACTCAGGCTTTGCTGCAAATCTGGCCCATTCAAAAGGAAACTAGAAAGATCTGACTCATTTTTGGAAGAGAACATGGAATCTGATTGATCATTCAAGGAAGAAAAGGGATCATCACTGAAGGGATCGGTACTATAAGTCGGGAAAAGATCTGATATGGATGAAACAGGTTTATCATCTGGTGTATTGGAGAGAGGGGATGGGTATGAGATGAAAGGATTTCCTTGACTGCCATCAATCACAAAAGCAAAGTCAAGGAGCAGAACACTGTCAGGCTGGTTTTAGAAGAAGAAAAAAAAGATGAGATGAGAGGTAGATTCTGTGAAAAATACTGAAAGAAAATATTTAGATAGTTATAGAAAATTATTTCTGTGATTTTAAAATCATGCTGCATTAATAACATGAACATGGGAAGGGTCTCAAACACCAGTAACAGTGTGTAATTGAAGAGTTCTCTTCCCATTTTCTTGGGTTTGGGTGCCATCTACTGGCCAATGGGACTTTCCCAAAAACATTAGTGATGGAGTATTTGCTTTGGTCATGAAAAGCAGCCAATCCAAATGCTTGAGACCCTTAAAAGAGAAATGAGGGCTGATGGGTGCCTTTGGTAAGTAGGTTTAAGTGTTAATGGAAGATACGGGCAAAGCATTTAGTATGTTAAGATCTAAAAAAAAAAAAAAAAAAAGTCAAAACAATGTGCAGGGAAAAAAAATAGAAATCTAACCACATGTATTAGGGCAAACTCTGCTCATTCCAGAGACACTCCAGTTAAGCAGAACTATTTAAATTATTCGATAAGCCACACTTAAACAGCAGATCCACTGCAAAAATGTATGTATACTGTAGGATCATTACCGTCGGAGAGTGAATGTCAGGTGGAGTGGACATATCACCAAACAGGTCCATCTGCTCTACAGTCTGAG